AAAAATGATATCAATCTGATTTTAATTAGGTTGAAAAGTAGACTTTAAGAGATGTCCAACGATATATCATTTATCTTTTTCCAATTTTTGGATCAAAAGTTATGGTAAAAACAAAAAACGTAAAATTGCAAGATCATCCCGCCGCCAAAGCCGTCGCGCCGTGATGGACCTGTCGTGCCGCGATAGAACCTGTTTTACTTTGATTTGGATTTTGACTCTTTTCTGATCCTTCGACCCTCTTTTTTCTTATTAAATAGAGGTCGTTTCACCCAGTTTTGAATCACCAACAATCATCATCTAATCCTCTCTCTAAGCTAAAGCTTTTCTCTCTCTCTTCTTTCTTGGTTTCTAGCCTAGCCTAAACACGTCCTAATACACATCCTTGATACTTTCCTCTAATCAAACACCATACCTCCATCACGAGCTTCGAATACTCCTAGCCAACATCGAAGTTGCCTTCGACCTCGACGTGAAAGGTTGATAGTTTTGGGTTTGGTCCCTAATCTACATTTAAATTCTTATTTGATTTATTTGATTTAATCTTTATTGAAGTTTACTAACGTGTGTATTGTTTTGATAGAAAGAGATACGAGGCATCAAAGTAAGTAATTTGATTACTTAATTATTCTTTTAATTCCTAGTATCATGCTTAGGATGTTGATTTTGATTCCTAGTATCATGTTAGGATGTCTTTTTGATTCCTAATATCATTTTTAGGGTGTTAATTAATATTTCTAATATCATGTTGATTTCTAGTATCATGTTTAGGTTAAAGCTTTGATTATGATTTTTAGGGACATGCTAGGATTTGTTATTAATCCGTTTAGTATCATGCCTAGGATCTTGCTACTAATCATGTTTTGATGATTTTTTATTATGATGATGATTGTTGTGTCAATTATTATGTTGCTTGATTGTTATTGCTTGATCATGCCCCTTCTTGCAAGTTTAAAGGGAATTTGTACTTGAAATCACGCCTAATAAGATAATTGATAATTTGATTTAGGCTAATATGATTTTAATTCAAGTGATCGCCAATAATAGATTTATTTGTGCATTAGTAATCAACCAATGTAGATTAAACAGGTTTAAGGTTAAATTTATGTATGTATGTTGATCGGAAAGCGCACATGAAATCATAAGAATTAAGTAGAGGCCGATTTAGGGCGGATTCAATCTCTTTTAGGTTGGATTCGTACCATCATCCCTGAATATCCAGTCATGGTTCCAGACCACTATGGAGTTAGCGATCTCCGTGATTGTGAATGGGGTGTAACCTTCACACCCGTGAACGATTTACAAGTTCCTAAAAATTGTTGGCGACTCTTTTATTTCTAGCTTCCTTCCCTTTGGACGCCACCATGCTTAAAAGGATGATCACAGTGGGGCTCAAAAGGTTGAGTTTGAAAAATTCCCTACACAAGTATACTTTAAACAAATTACAAGACTAGTCTTAAGAAGTAGAACACTAGAAAAATTAATTAAATTCTAAGGCCATATCAAACAAGCAGTAGAATGAAATAAAGACAATTGGAAGATTTATGGTTAAAAAAGAAAAAATTTAATCAATTTATCAAGACCAGAATTTACCTCAATGGCAACCCCGAGCTGGTGACCATAGCCATGCTTGCCCCTCTGATTCACCCATGGGTACACATCTTGTTTGGCCCAAATTAGAACACCACTGTAGCCATTGTAGGTTCCAAATGCATCCACTTCATAAATGCCACTGAGCTGCTCAGTTATGTGGTATAGTATCGAATTATCAACCCAAGCCTCAGTGACTATGACAACGTCTGGTGTGTAGGCATTGAACAACTTTGTGAATGTCTCCTTGAAGCATGGTCGATGAACACGACGAGCATTCCAAACAACCACAACAGACCCAATGGGGAAATTTGGAGTTTGTGGCAAAGCGTTGGTCTTGGAACCATAGATAGACACACGGTGGTGCCTCACCTTGCTTTTTTCAAATATGCAAGCGTAGACATTAACATTCACCATCTTCATCTCATCATGCACCTCCATCACATGAATGTATGCACTTTTGTGGGAAAAGAATAGGTGTCTCTCTTGAAGGGGGAGGGTAAACAAGGGAAGCAACTCAATTCTCACATTTGGCTTCAAATCAAATATTGGAACAAGTTCGGCAGGAACAAAGGTTTCATCCTCACCTCTACCTTTTTTACAAACCCACTTGACAAAGGCACCCACACCTTTCCTCATGTACCCTTCCAGATCAGAGATGAGTGGGTAGTAAGCCGGCCGAGCATCATTGTCTCCTACCTCCATCACACTTTTACGAATGAAAGTAGTGGTGCGATAATCAAGGGATTCAAACAACTGGTCGCGAAGCTCCTTAACCGGGATAAGGTCTCGCATCTGGGAGAAGTCTATATGGTTGGCGTAGTAAGGAGTGTTATTGAAATTGAGCTCTGGTTCAAAGGTTGCAATGAAAGGACTAAAGTAGAAGATAGGTGAGGTTAGGTGTGGTTGCATGGTTACTCCCCTGACACTGTATAAGGGAGCACTGGGTTATTGGGGTGGTGGAGATAGGTCGCGGTTGTTTGACATTTTGAAGAAGATTGAAGTTAAGTTTTTTTGAGACTGAAGTTAAGTTTTTTTAAGATGAGAAATGAAAAGGCAATGATCTTTGTTTGGAGAGGTAAATTCAGCTACTAAAATATTGATTTTTGGGACTGACCTTTAAGCTACCACAATTCAGAAAAATTTAAACTGTCCTTGGTAATGAGAAAAACAGCCCAGCATATCTGATAAAATCTTTTAGCAACAAGTAAACCCTACTGACATACTGTTTATCTGGGTTGAACAAGTAAAGCCTACATTTGACACACACATTCTAGGAAAGGACCCTTTTTTGAAAAAAAAAAGTAGACAAGGAAACTTATTGTACTTGAAATATACTAAAGAAAAGGATATTAGAGAAACTAAGTGTACTTGTAACATACTAAAGACAAAGAAAAAGATTTGAGATTTGTTTTGAGGTTGCCCCTTGTATTATCTGTAAAAAAAGTAGTTGGGGGAACAATTAAATTTTTTTTACTTTTTTGAAGAAAGGCAAGCAACAATTTATTTCACCCAAGCAAGTAAGTGATCAATTTATGTAAGTGTAGGAAATAGTCATTGGTTTGAAGCAAATTTATTTTCAAAAACAAACTAGCAATTAAAAAAAGTCCCATAAAATCTGAAAACCAGAGTTACAGTGATACCCTACTAATATACTTTTTAGATGGATTGAAACAATGAAATCTACTATTGACACACATATTATAGGGTGTGGAACCTCTAACAAAAGAGAGGAAAGAGGACTTAATGGTACAAGTTATTATATGAAGACAAAAAAGAAAAAAGGAGAAATGAGATATGTATTGAGGCAGCACCATGTAATTGTGACAAGTAGTTATATGAAGCACCAATTTTTTTGAGATCAGTCATTAGGTTTTTTTTTTTTTTTTTTTTTTTTTTTTTTTTAAGGAAAATAATTTAGACAAAAACACTCCTACTTTGAAAAAAAGCCCTTCAAATCTGACTAGTATTGATATCTTCATTTTTAAACGTACACACTAATGTAAAATAAAATACAGTTGGAAGCATTTATTGTATAATTGGTGTTTCCAGTTTGATGAAAAGACATTTGAACTGGCAAGAAGATGCTCTTCAGCGTTTGGCTCTAGGCAAGCTCCATTAATTTTGGCTGAATTAAAGGACAGAAATGTAAGACAAAGCATGTAACAATTATCCTCCAAAATATCATTTTGATTAATTATACAAACATAGGGTAGGTTTAGCTGCATTGATAACAATTACATCCCCATCCATCTTTTATATATATATGCAGTGGTAGGATAACAATATTTAGTGACATTACTTGAGTTTTCAGCTGTTTAGGAAGCTAATGGGGAACAAAGGTAAAATTTTGTTTGCAAATAAGTCTTTAATCTTGTAATGCTGATACTAACACGTATTTTATATGGGGTGCAGCTAACAGCCGCGCTGAGAAGAAGAGGAAGAGGCTCTTGCGATTCGTAGGAAAGATGAAGAGAAATGGTCTCCACGATCTCAATGATGTCATCCGAAATGCCCACATGCCAATACATTACAAACGTATGATGACGGGCCATCAACTAGCAACTATTGCAAGGGGAGGAGAACTTGATCCTGTCAAAGGTATTGACTTTCACCCGGACTACCCTTTCTTGACAATATTTAGTATTGGCAAGCCAAGACACTTTCGCAAAGAGGCTTATTGTTTTATGTGGTTTTTGCTTCACGTTTCAAAAATTTGTGTAAGTTTTGACTTGAGACAATTGAAGAAAAGGCCGAACAAGTGTTACAACTTTCCCAATTATTGTGTGTGTTTGAAACGCTTCTTTGAATTGTTTGACCACCTTGAGGACTGGTATTACATGGCCGATGATGCCCTAAAATACAAATGCACCAACTGAGAGAAATATGGACTTCTTCTGTTGGGAAGGAAGTGCATTTTCACAGAAAAAGACAAGTATGAGATCACATTAGAGTGGCTGAATTTTTCTCAGGAAGACCCGATTGAGATGATAGCGAATGATCCAAATCAAAGAATGTACTTCAGAAGCAAAATGCTAGCTGAAAATGGGTGGGACGAGATGGCTCATCTTGATCTAGTTACTGCTAAGCCATTCAACTACGGTGATTACCCAATTGAGTATGTTCGGAAGTTAGATTACGTGAAGCAGTTGTTCGAAATAAAAACGGGGGACGAGTCAGCTGATGGGTGGGACACTAATTATAGTGACTTTTGGTAACTAGTGGAAATCAATTGTGCCTTTAAGAAGAAGTAGAAATATCAATGTTACAATTTATTGATCACTAAGTTTGCTGTGGAAATATTTAGTGCGTGAACTTTAGTTTGCTCTTTTGTTTGTGGTAATCTACTAAACCAGACTACTATTTGTATCTTATTGTGTATTCATATTTCCATGTCTTATCTACGTAATGCTATTAAGGTATTTTTATGTAAAGGAAACTGCATTTCCTAATAAACATATGATTTAATCATAGCATATATCTACTAATCCATGCAAAGCATACACTACCAGTTTAGTTATAGAACCATGCTAATCTAAAACATGCTAGCATTAAAAAAAAGCATAATCAAAATGAAATTGTTCAACCCCACACCCAAATTTTGATGTTCAGAAATAGTCAAAACATCTCCAGAGATACCACAGACCTCAAGAGAAAACAACACATAAATACTGTTTTCCTCTAAGTAACTGTGACACAACAACTGAAAGGTTACCATTGCATCGTTGTTTGAGAATTGTTCCTCCTCCCACCCCTTCGATCTTTTGGAACAATTTCCTCTAGCTTCGCATGGAGATCATTGTGGGGACTATACGCATCTTGTAGGAACAAATTGACCCTGAGGTGGCACACATTATCCTTAGATTACAAAACACAAGGAAGACTGTAAGGCGTTACGGACTTAAGTTATACACCAAACATTTAGATACTGGTTTGAAGCAAAGTTCATACCACTGTAAATGCAATTTTAAAACTACGGGCACAATGTTTGATGCATGCAAGCATTAGGAAACCACAGGAGTTGCTATGAAAATGCAAAAAATAATTACTATTCAATTTTATAGGATAAATTTGGCATATGAAAAATCAATGAAAAAGGTTTGAGCAGAGACATCATTCAACAACAATTACATATAAAGACAACAACAAGGATCAAACACAAACCCCGCAACTATCCGATTAAATTAACACAACTCAAAAGAAAAATCTAAAAACATACGTGTCTTTCTGATGAACCTCAAACACTCTCCTAGGCCAGTTGCACATGTTGCCCTTCTCCCACAATGGATCACTTATCTCAACAAGGACATCCAGTACCCTAATCTGCATCAAAAAAGAACCTACCATAAGTAGGTAACCCAATAGAATAATAAGAAATTTATGATAAAAATACATCCATACCAGGTCATCCACAGCTTTTGTATGTGAATCAAAGGGTTGGTCATATAAGGAATCAATAACCCAAACATGCCTGCCCTTCAAATCAACAGCAAGACACCACCAATGCTCTCCCTCCTCTTGATCCACCTCAATTACAGGCATGAAAACCTGACAAAATAATATCATCAGACAATTTGCTAAACTCCACTTGCAGATCAAATTTAGGCTAAAGGGACACACTGAACTCCCTAACAATCACTCACCGCGCGAATCTGGTTCAAACTACAGGCAAGGAATGTCTTCCCGTACTTCCTAGCCAAATGTTTATGGTCACCCTTTTTTAACAAACATCTAACCAAAGCAATGAAAAAAAAAAGTTATCAATTAACATTGATAAACCACTACTGATTAAAAACTCAAGATACTTCCGGCATAAGTAAGGTCCAGAAGAATACGCTTGTCATTTTCACCATATTCGTGCACCCAAGATTTGGTGTACAACAAAGAAGCCATCCGAATGTACTGATCACCAACCCTAGCTCTGCCACAGACAACGCGGTAACAGTCCCGTTGCTTAGCATCCATGTCGTTGCATTGAATTATTGAAGGCCACGGACTACAACACCACAGCAAAACAACAACAACGCAATCACTGCTACGAGTATATGGGCAATAATTAGAATACAAAACAGCAGACTAAAGCTTTGTTACTTACTAATTGTCATTCTTGTGGTCCTTCCAACCCCGGACAAAAGTAACAAGACGCTTATTACTCGGTGTTTGCACAATGGCACGGTTAGGATCTTTAACATTCAACCCCTCGCCCTGCTCAGCCTCCCCAATGAACCTGTTGGCCCCATCATTCTCAACATTCATATCTTTTTCCTCAAGACTTTCTTCATCAACTTTATCTTCTCCCCTGTTAACCTCCGCATTCTTGCCATTGGCCCCAGGGTCCTCAGCATCCTCTGCAAGATCTTTTTTAACAGGACTTTCTTCACCTCCTTTGGAGCTTCCCAAGACTCTTAACACAAGGTGATTCAATGATATTTGGATCACCTTCCTTAGCTCCCACTTCTCGGACGACATCTGTTGCCTTCTAGCTAGAACCTGCTACAGCCTTTCCCACAATCCCCTTAATAAGGGACACAATCCTAGGGGTCAGCCATCACCTAGTACCATTCCAACATTGTTAAAAATCATTAATGTTAAATACTCTTACTCTTAAAATACACATAACAAGGATTAAAGACTACCTAGTCCGCCAAAGTACTAACAACAGAGCTGCTACTCATCCGGGAGTTGTCTACCACCCCACTTGCACTTTCACCTCTTCTGTCCCTAGGAACGAGGGGATGTGGCTCACCATACGCCACATCTATGGCCTGTAAGAATAATTTAAAAAGAAATTACACTTTATTATTTGTTTCCCATGTAACAAAGATTGAAAGGGCGTCAAACAATAGCACAATGTAATTACCAGAAGACGGCCATACTCATCTTCATCTTTAGACAACCTGTCCTTGAAAACTACAGCCTTCACCTGATTTGTGCTCCACACCTTGAGCCTCAAGAACACACCCCACTTCAGAGGAATGTGCTCCAAATGATCTAAGTAGAAGATCTGAAATATCAAAAACCAAAGACATACATTAAATTGAGCAGTAACTTATTTGAGAGTGACTATTTGTGTATATAATCAAATACACAAGTAAGAAAACTTACAAGAACGAAAACAATACTACCACCACATCCAGACCTGAAACCATTTTTCTCAAACCTCCTTTGAAAACGTAAAGATGTATCCTTCAACCAATCAAATGTAAAACTACACCAATCATACTCATTAGCTTGAGTCGCAACTGTCAAAGCATGAACTAATGATACCGCGAGGTTAGACGAATTTATGGTGGTACAAAGGATCTTCCCAAGTGCCACTAGCAAGAACGTCGTCATAAATTCCTCCTTGTCCTCCTCCGACTGAAGCTTCATCAGATTGCTTGAACTATCAACTGGACAAAGGGCTTTTGAAGCTTCCACCGAAGATATAGTCTCCTTCTTCGGCCCAACACCATACCTATTAACAATCCTATTCACCTTCTCTGACTCTTCAACACATTCCATGTCCACCCCTCTAGGAATCGGCCTTTTCCCCATTGGTACTCCAAGGATTAAATACACTTGGTTCGGATCCAACGGCAAAACTTCACCATCCCCAATCGTTAGGATCCCATCGCTTCTCACTCTCGTCATCAGTCAATAACAAAAATGGCGAGGAATGTTCTTCATACCCAAACTCAGCAAAATTCCAATCCCCATCCTTTTCACCAAGTTCGTCCGACGAACATCTGATTTAAATTTATCAATATCTTCACAAAAGGATTCTACTCTACAAACAATGTTAAGCGGCTGTAACAAAAATAGAGGAAAAGTGAAGTCAGCTTACTTAAACATTCCCATGCATGACATACCATACACACAACTAACTCTAAACAAGGACATGATCGATGCTTGCTTAACAGAATTATTCACAACATCAAGAAAGAATTCATACCTTCCCAACATTGTCAAAATGGGTGTTCAACACTTCACCCCTCTTACAGACCTTCTGTCCCTCAGTTTTTGGCACCTTCCTCCTTTTGGATTCTCTTGCCTAACCTACACCCATCTTCCTTTTCTTACTCTTACTCCTAAAATACTGCTTCAACATATTCTCTAATGACCATGAGCTAGAGTTAACATCATCTTTGTACTCCGATTGTGTAGAACCAAAACCAGATTTATCATCAACACTTTCCTCAACAATCATTTTCTGTTTAGGTAATCTCTGATTGCTCTTTGCCTTAACAGCAGGGGCGGCAGATTGACCTTTCCCAACCTTTGAACTTCTGGCGGTCTTTGAAGAACCCTACCAAATATCACACTCTGATATAAGCTTATATGCTCAGGTAGTTAGCCTACAAATAAAAATAAGAATCACCTAAATACTAACACTTACCCCCCATCTTTTTCCAAGAGAAATTCCGCACAAATGACTTGTTCTTCATTGTTTTCTTTGTTATTGTCAACTACTGTATCAAATAAACATTCCTTTTCAATTAATATAGAATACTAACACAACACATAATCTCAAACTGTTACAAAAACTTAAACACAACATTAGATATTAACATAGCATGGCATTCTAGCTATAACACACTTTTCCACCATTTCATTTTAATATACCATAGTAGAAATCAATGGGATTAATTTACAAGGCAAGAACAATCATGTATCACAGACAGCCAAAGCCACATAATCATAAATCATGAACCTTTGTACTGTATTCCACATCATAACAATATGCATTGTACCATCCAACACCACAACTTTCAAATTCATCTTTACAATAAAAAAAAAGGTCTTTAAAATAAGAGAAATTTGCCAGTTTGACCTATATAATATTACCTTTCCAGCAATGTGGATATTACATAAGGGTGATTACTGAATTAACGCATTGGAAACAAGAATTCAACACAATAATTTTAACAATCTTCTTGAACGCCATAGTTGTGGTTAATTCAAACATGACAACAATATTCATGGAACCACAACATAAAACCATAACATTAAACTCAAACATCAAATAAACCTTAACCCCACAACAAATAAACCATAAAAAAATGCACATCTTCAAATTAAGGTGTTCCGATTTAAAGAGCAAAACCATAACAAATCCACGCAAGTTATAGCAGTCAACAAATAAACCCAAAACCCCACAACTTCAATTAAAGCCTAAATCATCCCCTTTGATTGAACCCAAACTCAATTCATCCCATCCCCTCCTCACTAAATTGATCCCCTTTTACACGAACCCTATGTCAATTAATTTTATTTACACGGGCCCAAACTCAATAAATTTCATCACCTTTAAACGAACCCTCACTAAATTCATCCACTTTACACAAACCCTTAGTCAATTCATCCCATTTACGAACCCAAACTCAATTAATCCTCTTTACACGAACCCTAACTCACTTCGCGATACATAACAATCAAATGAACATCTTACCTACATTCCTGAACCCCTAACTTCAATCAAATCAACATCTTACCTCACTAAATTCATCCGCTTTACACAAACCCTAATTCAATTAGTCTCATTTACACGAACCCAAACTCAATTAATCCTCTTTCCAAGAACCCTAACTTACTTCGCTATACATAACAATCAAATCAACATCTTTCCCACATCCCTCAACCCCCAACTTCAATTTAAACCCACAAATTGACCACCTACCTAGATACAAACCCTAACAGAAATCGCGAGTTTAAACAATCAACAAAAAACCCAGATCTTGGAAATCCAGTGTAACAAAAACAACATTTAAACCCAAAACCCTAATTCTTCGCATAAATTAAAACCATTAAACACATAAACTTGGTTACAAAGAAAATTAAGTACTTACTTCTCGCCCCTTTTGTGCAGGATTGCCTAATTCTTCACCAAAAAAGCACCGGAATTGAGTAACGCAATAATGGTGAGGATCTTGGAAGGAATGAGAAACGAAGAGAGAGCGACAGAGTAAGTGAAAGAGAGAGAGTAAGTGAGAGAAACAGAGAGAGAGAAAAAGTAAAGTGTGGGAGGCAGAAAGGCAACCTTTGGTAGAATACAAGATTAAAGAGTACAATACACCCATCACTTACGAAATACGAGAGAAAATACACTAATACATCTCCAACGGGCCGACAAAAAGCATAACGGGTGCTGATGTGGAATTCCACTCAACTGATTAAACACCGAGAGAAATTACGCCCTTGCCCCTTGTCTACACTTCTTCATACATAACGAAACTCCATTAGGACAAGCTCTGAGTATCGAAGGCAATGAACACAATAGTAGTAGCTAGTGATAATGAAAAGGGTTGCCTAAATGAAGATGCATCAGCCATGAATAGTTGTTGCTATCTTTTTTATGTGGTGAGTAGAATTGTAGGAAGATGCTTATTTGTTGTTTGTTTTCCTCTCATTAGATGCTTTGGATGGTATGAATGCAGACATCAACATCATCAACAATATTTCTTCTAATGCAACAAACTTTCATATATTCTAAGAGACCGTGCAAATATTTTTAGTTTTTTATAAGTTTTTTGTTGTTGTATAGTAAGTAATTCTAGAGCACCCTTAACCATGAATGAAGTAAATTGTTTGAGTTATTGTTCATATAAAATAATATTTAAATAATCAAATGTTGGTGAACATTGCTATGAACAACAATGAACCATTTGGAAAAGCCAACCATCCGTGAGAAATTATTTGTCTGACAAACCATTTGCTTTTGGTGCTTTTGTACACAAAAGGTACGTAAATTCACATATAAAAAAAATTGAGAATTGGTGACATTGGCAGCATTCAGAGCGCGCCACGTGTCACCATGTATGTCGTTGGATCTGTAACGTTAATAACTTTTAACATATTATTTTAAAAAAAAATACCAACGATCATATTTTTTCATTTTCTATAAATAGACACCCATATTGATATAGTTTTGACAACCTCAAAAATTACCTCTTTTTGAAACCATATTCTTAAAAAAAAAAAAAAAAAAAAAAAAAAAAAAAGAGTTTGTATCTTAATTTAGATTCTTCCACAAAACTAGCCAAAAAATTACAAATTATGGATCCAAATATTCCTAATTATGCTTTTAATAATCCAAAACCTCAAACAAAGCGCAAACCCAAAAAAAAATCCACAACAAAATCCACCCAATTATCCTATACATCAAGAAAATTGGGTTCAAACTCCGCCTAAGCTAATCACCCACAAAATTCTCCACAAGTAATCCCACGATTAAGTATGTGTTATGTCTAATGCACTTGGGTGGTTTTTTTTCAAATTTGCAATTAATAAAATTACAAATTTGTATTCCGTATTTAAATTAACAAAGTAATTAATTATGCTAATCGCAGACAATTAACAACGTTAATTACGATAACTTTAGCTAATTTTGCACGCAAATAACGCTAATCGTAGTAATTTCCTAATAATAAAGCGTAACTAATTACGGTAATAACAATCAATTACATAACAAATGAGATTAATATATTGTTAATTATTTATGTATCTTAGTTTTTAGTAAAAGATAAATTGAGGTGGGGTAGGTGAATAGTAACATGAAAATTTTATTTTTGGTTCATGGTTAAGAGGAGGATGTTGGAAATTATTTATTTGGTTTATGCATATGAGAGAGAAAGTATTTTTTTATGTGAATAGTAACACGAACAATTTTTCTTATGTTCATGAATAAAGGTGCTCTTAGTATAGCGAGAAAGGTACAAATGACAATGTCGTAATGATGTATAAGAGATTTCATCTACACTCTTGAGTATTTCCCTTAATGCAGCTTAAACTAACTAAACTACTACCTCCATTTTATATTAATTGCAACAAACGAGTATTATTTGTGAGACAAAAAAATTCCTTTGCTGCAATTAATATGAAACAGAGATACTACTTAGCTCACAATTGTTTTATAATAACACACTAACACTTCTTTAAATCTTTAATTTGTCTAATATAGTTTGAAATTTGGGTAGATATAATTATCCGATTTTTTATACTCCCTCTATTTTTTTTTTAAATGTATTACTTTGACTGGCACATTTGTCAAGACATAACTTTGACTATTAATATCTTTAACTGTCTATTAGTAAAAACTAGATTAGTGCTCGTGCGACGCACTGTAGTAATAATTTTTTTTCCCATAATTAATTGTGATATAAAAAAAAAATGAGGCAACTCATGTTGAATAAACAAATGCAATGCATATAGAAAAATAAAATAATAAGGCAAAAAAATTTAAAACTACAATTAAGAAAAAAAAAATTATTGTTGATTTTTTTTTTTTTTTTGAATGGAATAGGGAGGGGTGATTTTATTAAATAATAATAGTCATTCGGCACTTACAATCATCCCTTAAGAGATCTAAATTCTCAATACAAGTATTTAACACCTCTAAACTAATGGCATCGCTTCTGAACTGCTCCTGAATAATTATAGATATCTTTGCATCGTTCTTGACAGAGCTCCATTGATGTATAGTCGCTAAAGTGATAAAACTTTATTGGTCATCAAGATCGGCAAATTTACAAGACGAATCTTCTAAATCTGCACCCCTAAACCAACAGACCCGCAATTCCACAAATTTGCAAGACGAATCTTCCGAATTTGTATCCCTACACACACGAAAAATCAAACAAACAAACAATACTAAAAATCCCACCATTAGGAAACTGACTAAACCCTACATGGAGGGACTGACTATAATCACCATATTATTGGTGATCTTTATTGGCTAAAAACATTAAATTGAAGAAGAATTTAGGGCTTACCATCGATAAAATCGATGGCAGCCCCTAAGATTTAATATGGTGGCTAGTTTTATTTGAAGAGAGAGAATTGAGAATTTTTTAGGGTTTTAAATTTTTTTATTGTTAATTAGTTGTGTTGAAAATATTTAAAAAGTAGTATACAATATATATATATATATATTACATTAATGATGCATATTATTTCCCAATAAAACTATACAATCTAATGACTATATGACTAAAGACTTATTTATAAATGTCTTTTAATAAACATGAAAATATTAATCAAACAACAAATCGAATAAAATCTATAGTAAAATTATTAGCACATCATACATGTAAATATATAAATTCAAATAATGTATTATCTTTATATCCAATAAAATAATTTTAGTGGAAATAAATATTACTCGGATCATTAAAGACAATAATAATCTATAATTAGGCAACACTAACCTATATTATTAATAGTACATTTTCTATTTATGAATTGATGTTCTACATGATGTTGTTGCTCTTTGTTATTACATAAAAATGTGTTTGAACCTATTCAATAATTGTAGTTTGATCATTGTTTGTTTATTTCCTTAAAAGTTTATTTGTAGATGATAACTATTTATCGAAAAAAAGGATACACAAGAAGATGCGTCACTTGTCACTACATCCGACGTGTCTTTACTATGCACCTTATTTATAATCTCAAATTTTATTATCTCAATCAAATGTTTTAGTAAAAGATAATAAGTTTTTGTATTTACTAAGATATTAACTTATTTAATTACGTAATAACAAAGATTGATTGTTATTTCACATTTTCCTAGAATTAGACATATAATATAGTTGTCGAACACAACATTTATTTTATAGTCATATCTTATACTCCATTAGTCTGAGAAACAAAATATTAGAGGTATTTGAAAAAAAATAAAGTGATATTTTAAAGTAATTTCTTTAAATTATATGAATCAATTTTATTACTTTTTGGGCAAATTTCAATAATACTTCGTCTAAAAGATGTCCCGACGGTAATGATAGTATCTTGTACCTAGCTAAATCAGTGGGTCACTTACTTAAAAAATAGTTAGAATAATATTTTAGGTAATAAATGTGTATGGAAAAATTAAGAACACGAATAAAAAGAAATACATTTTATGTAAAGATAACATATAAAATTTGGAATAACATTATTATAGTTGTATTATACAAATATTTAAAAAATAAAAATAAAAAATTACTAAAAGGGGAGAGGGAGTTTTGGAGGGAAAATACAGCATCTGGCACGTGTCATTCTTGGTGTCTGTTTTAGTATTATGTTATTGATTGTAACAAAATTATATTATGAAAGTAGACATTGTGACAAATCTATTGATATATTATATAATAGCATTTATTTGTTTTATAATAGCAAAAAAATTAAGTCAAACATGACATGTGAATAGTGCAAAAGTCAAACTGATGCTTTTAAAAAAAACGGAGGGAATAATAAGAAATACATATTCCGCTTCAATATAATTGCACTAAATTTCTTTTTTGGAAACATCATAATAATTGCATCATTACTTTATTTGATATGTAAATTATGACAGAGAGTCCATATTGTCTCTTATAATATGTTTCTTTTATGAACCTACTGTCACCTCTATCCTTACCCTTAGAAAAAGGTTAGTATTGTCTTTTAACATTCCGTCCGCTCAGTGGCGCTATTGGTGCAAGTTAAATCTTCTTTCTTTTTTCTTACATTACATCATTTAAAAAAAAAAAAAAGTGTAAATGAACCACAAGGACATTACAAATGGAGATGAGAAATTGAATATGTGACCTATTGTATACAATCCTTCAGCCTTAACCATTAGGCCAAAACATTATCCGTATGGTGCAATTATAATAAAGCAGCAAAAGTAAGTAATAATTAGAATAAAGTCTTAGCCGTTGCCAAATGCCAAAACAACTTTGGAGGTACATAATAGAAGTAGCTTCCAAAGGTTAAAAAAAACATGTGCTATGATTCTTAGAGATGATTCTAGCCAAGTTTTTGCGGCCCGAGCTTTCAAAATGGGTCATTTCTCTTCACAAAGTGTCAAAAGTTGTTTGCTCTTAATTGAAATGGAAATCATGTAAGATAAAAGAAATTGGCGATTATATGGCCTTAAAAGATGATAACCAAGTGGTTACCTTACCTTGTTGGATCATTTTCAATGTTTGTGGTGATTTTCACTTATCACGTGTGTTATTCACTTATTCTAACGTTGGTTCTAGTTTGATATACTTGTCATATTATTGACAAAAAAATCGAAATATATACGGAGGTCAGCTTTGCGACTGAAAATTTTCAAATCTACGTTGTGAAGGAAGATATTGATGTAATTAGCTCCCAAAATTAAATCTCAAAGAAATTTAAAAAAATGTCCTTTGAAAAATTGAAAAGTCTAAAACAATGAACAAAAACTATTAAAAAATAACTAAAACTACAAGAGAAAACGTAACAAAAATGGGTTAAGGAAAATGATACTATGATAGCATAGTAATTCCGAGTATTCAAACTGTCATTTTCAAAAGCAAAAGGTAGGCGTTCCCCAAAACAAAATTTTCAACACGGGTAATTAACTTCTTCCTATGTCGTCCATGCTTACTATACCCTCCCTTTTTTTTCCACCTTGAATTTTTTTTTCATAGTATCAACATAACATCTTGTATTAACGTGACCATCCCATATGCCTAGTGTCTGCGCTTCATAACTTGGCACCTCAATTTCTTGATATCAGATAATTTGAGTGGCTTTAACATGAACATATGAGCACCCTCTTCCAAGCACCTAAAGACAATTAACTTAATTATATTATAACAAGAACAATAAGTTGAACTAATTTCGATGTAATTAGGAATTTGCAGATGTAAATTACTTGTTAATTCTGGATGGAACATTCTCAGAGGACATTATCACAACGGGCACTTCTTTCAACTGTGAGGATTCCTGCACAAAGAACATGAAAGTACACATCTTCAGAGTCATGCATCAATAAATGGCCAATGACTCAAGTCCATTCCAAATTATACAGAGTAATAAAATTCAATAGCGAAGTCAGATATATTGTTAAGTGCGTTCAAATATTATTAAGTGGGTTAATTTTCTTAATTGTTGAAGTGTTGGAGTGAAAATTTACACAAGGAAAAATGATCTTAAGCTACTTGAACCCACTTGCTTCAATGTGAGCGTATAACAACTTAACAAGTCTTTTTTTGTGTCGCTTTTGAGTCAAAACCCTCATTCACTCATTTTTTCGGGTTTCAAGTCAAAAAATTGTATTCAAGACACAAATTTTCCAAGCAGGTTCTAATAAGATTTTGCCGAGTATAACAATATATTCATGCGAAAATCCGAGAAAAAGTTGGATGTATACATGTAGTCATGTATATATGGAGTAGATAGGCTAGACACATTACATAAAGGCAAGAATTAAGATGTTACCTTAATCTTCTTAAGCAAATCATAGCCAGTCATTCCAGGCATGCAGTAATCTGTGAGTACCAAATTAACTTTGGAAGCCTGTCCAAATTCATATCATTATCTTCATTAATAAAACATTATACTATATTTGTTAATGGTACTAATTAAATTAATGAACATAATAATACTAATAATAATAGCTTGCCTTGGAGGTGGAGGTGTTCTGTTGGTCTTCTCCAATTCCTAAGTACTCCAATGCACTCATTGCATTCTCAGCTGTGGTTACTGTAACAAATTATGTAATGCACCGTGTTAGTTTAACATAATTAATTGATTTATTTATAATTGCTACAAAAAAGTTGGATTATGTTTAGTTTGTATAATGTACTTGAAGCTTATTAACAAGTGTCCTTAAAATGATTGGGTTTTTCCTAGTTAAACACAATCAAATCCACACTTAATTCCGCACTCACTAATTACTTTTTCATTAATTATTATGTCATCTCTTTGTAACACAATACGAGTAGTTTTTTTTTTTTTTTTTTTTTAAATGCAGCTAATTATAAGGTGAATATGTGACGATGTCTCAAAAAGTCAAAATTAATAGTCTGACTTGTGAGGATGAGATATTGAGATCCTAATGTTATATGATTTCAAAGTATTTTTTTCGTAAATGTAAAAAAATCAATAAACATGTGATGAAATTGAAATTTGATCCGTAATTTTATTTATTTTCTGACAATTTTATCCGCACCCCTCCCAAGAAGAGGAAGTGTAACTAGATTTTTTGAAGTTGACTATTCAAAAATTCGTCTTAAGACTACCATTGAAGTAGAAAAGAATTATTTTTTTTTTTTTTTTTTTTTTTTTTGGAATAGAAGTAGGAAAGAATTTTAAACTCAGTAAAAAAAGTTCTTCCATTCATTTTTTTTTAAAGAATACAGTTTTCATCCATTTATACGTAGTATATCACATTTTTCATTTTACGTCGTTCCAAATCATTTTCAACGTTATCATTTTTGGTACTTGTCCATTCAACTTATTCTCCAAAAATAAAACCCACATTTATTTTCTCGATCTTTACTTTCACACTTGTAATGTATATAAATATAACTAAAATGATTTATACCAATTAAGATGGAACACAAAGTAATTCAACGAGTATTCGTAACAACCCTATAACATTGAGACCTTTCGCGGGTAGGCTAATTTAACTACACAAGTTAGGCTTTTAATGATCCTCACCCAAAACTTCTATCAACTACGCTAAGAAACTATTACGACATTAATTTAATTTAATCCTATCCTTTTTTACTGTATTATATAAAATTAAAAATTATTACAAGCATAATTTTTTTCAGTGTTTAGAGAGCCACAAGGACGAAGGATGAGAATCGATCCAAGGACCCCCTGAAACCAAGAAGGAGTTCTAACTTGAGTTATCCCTCACTCTTAGTTATTACAAGTATAAGAAATGATTGTTATTTCATTGGTCTTGCATCAACACTAATGAAACTTAAAACAATGTAACTATTTCTAAATAAAGAAAGTAAGACACATAATTTAAATCCTACTTACAAAAAAAATTTGTTATAAAGGTCAATATAGAAAGTATACGCCATAACAGAGACAATTCAACTAAAAAGGTAACGACATAAAAGTAGAAATGTTATTAAAATTTGATTAATTTATCAATAATGAATTTAATTATTCCAATCAAATCCCAAAAAAACATATTATTTGACGGATGGGGTTTTAGAAACACAAAATATGTCCCAAAATTGACAACACATTACTACAATTTTAAAGAAACAAGTTTGATTTAGCAAATAGTATATCCATAACTTAATCATTAAAAATTAAACCAAGATTAATTAATTCAAAATTAGTACATGCAACTATCAAGAACATGTAAGACACTTTGCCAAGTGAAAAGAGCATATAAAGGTTTATTCCTTAGTGATCCCTTGCTAAGAAATATTCAATTTCCCAAACATTCTCATAAAATCTTAATCTTCAATTATAAAATTAATAGAATATTAATTAGCTACTAAGGCTTTCATGTTATTAGTATTCCATAGCTTAATGATATAATTAATTATAATATTAATGAAAGTGAAAATAAAAACCTACAACAATCAAATTAATGATGAAAACTGTTGAAAAAGTCTGAAGTCAAAACATAAACAACCAAAACGACGTAGCTTTTATGTAAACCTTAGATTGAGAAGTCAATTTGCTAGCATATAGGTTCTTTCTGTTTATTAAGCATCTATGCTTTCTTATAATCTCATGCATGAAAAAACAAATAATTCACTCTATTTAACCCCAACAAATCATTTATTACCAGTTTACCACGAACGAAAACGCACAAATTGAGGGAGTATATTAAGGTTATGATTGTAAAATTGTAATTATATACTATGTACGAAGTATCTTATTTTATGGAGTGTATAAATAAAACACAATTTAGCTATTTTTATAACTTTTAACTACAACTCTCCTAAATATAAATCCTTAAGAATTGTACACTATTATTGAAAAATGGTAAAATTATGTCCTTTTCAAATAGATCATATTCTGTTAACTATCTACTTTACCAAAAATAAAAAGACAAATAGATTCAACTAACCGTTTAAGATTGTATTTCTTTGCAAGTAGGATAAATGGTGTGTGTAATTCAAGTTTATTCAACCCCAATTTACATTGAAAATGAGCCATTTTACTCATTTACCCTAATCCTTCTCATGTTTTTTTTTAACTTATTCTCTACTAAATCGTACCTAAGCCTTTTCTTTTTCCAACAATTTCTCTAACAAATTCCCCTTATTTATCTTCTAATTTTTATTTTAACAACATGCAAATATTTCATTCCGATTATCTTTCCTCAATATCCGTGCCAAATCCTAACAAGCAGCTAAGATTAATTTAAAATAGAACTCACAACCATTTCATTTCCTTCCACAAATAAAATAAAATAACATCATGATGAAGTGCAAAAAATAAACCTCAATTTCAATGCAGTTACATAGAAAATCAGTTTCAAAAAGTACAGAAAACATAATACAGTCCAATGAAAGAGTTAAATAAAAACAAGAAAGATGAATAACATTATCGATATCTTTGCAAATTCACAATTATTTATGTATAGTACTCGTATTTATAAGTAAATAAAAACGGAAGAAGTATATAGTATTTACCTTTACAAGACGAGGTCTTGAGCAACCTTTCGATAAGTTTACGGTCAATGACATTATCATCCACGGCAAGTACAAGAGGTTGATCTTCATAAGATGAACAATAATAAGATGAACAAGAAGAAGTTGAAGAAGATGTCTCTTGATCTTCACTATCCATTTCTCTCTCTACCCTTTCTTTCTCTAAAAATAACCTTAACACCCCCAAATAATAAATAATAAAACACTTTTTTTTATGTTACAAGAAAATCAAAAATACGTACCTAAGATAGCAATAAATGTAGTTTTGACAAAAATGAAGATAGAAACAAGAAAAATGAAGAGAGAGAAAAGAAGATACTATGAAAACATGAAAATAGGATAAAATCTCAAGGAGAATTTCAATGATATATTGTGATCATTTTTGGGATAATCCCTTGATTTATTTGCAGTCTTTTTATTTTTTAATTTTTATAGTATAAATATATATGAATATATCATGATATAATAATATTTTCTCTCTCTAGGATCTTGCTTCTGCAACTCCAAATCTCTCTATTTCTTCCCTCCAAAAAGTTGGTTCACTTCATCTGTTTTGTTTTGACACTTTATATCATGTCAAATTTTTGTTTTTTTAGTCTTTTTTTGTATATTTCCCAAGAACCTATCAAGTGTACCTATTTAAAGTATATACATGTCTACGTTTACTTTGAAAAGTACTCCGTAATATTTGTACTTTTTATGTTTCTTACTCCTTCTGATTTCGGATTATGGTTTTATTCTTTTGAACGAACTTATGAGGAGTATGGTAGATTTCAGCATGTTTCTATATTTTTTTTGATTTCAGGTTAAGGTTCTGTTCTTTTGAACTTCTGAGTAGACCAGATTTCAGCAGAATAAAGTAGTTGTTATTATTTGTTTAAAAATAAAAAGTATTATTACTATTTACTCACTCCGTCCTAGAGTATCTGACACAGTCAATATTGTACACATGTCAATGTACTAGTTTGACTTTATTTTTATATAATTACATATTAATGAAAATTATTTTAAAAATTATACTTCATTCGTTTTAGTAATATTGCAACAATTGGACTTTTACATTATTTATCATGTTTATTCGATTTCATCCTTGTTGCAATATTTGGGGAACAAAGGAAGTATTATGAAACTTTATATTTGTACATATATTTTATGATAAAATATGTTTTTATTATATTAGTAAAAAATTATGGTCAAAATTTATTATTAATTTTATTAATTGTTATTATTACTAAGCATAGCAGAGTAGATTTCAGCAGAACAACTCTAAAGAACAAAGCCTTACTGCATTGAGGGTTAACCTGAAAGTAAAATAGACCTCAATTAATAGTGTTTTCCTTCGATTCTCTTCATCCACCTTTACCCCTTATGAGTCTCAATACACCTAAAGATTGTACAATTGTACCTGGCCTAAATGAAATTTATTACTCCCTCCTTTATTTAAGCGTTACACTTAGACAAATTTTTTTACTACATTTGAATATTATATTTCTCTGTTCCCACCCAAACTCACTACTTTGTTTTTTTTATTACTCTTCTCTGTATTTTTTTTTTCACGTCTATTATTTTTCAATAAACTACTAACATCACTACCTTTGTTTTTCAATTTTTTAATACTCTAACTACCCACTTACCTCTTATTACATAAAGTCAATTGAATTGCCTAAGTGGCAGTAAAAAAACAAAACTTTAAAAAACAAAGGGAGTAGGTACTTGATTATTGGAACTTATTAAAACTTATGATCGATGTTTGATGGAAACTTATTATAATTTATTATTATCATTATTCATAAAAAAAAATTTAGAAAAAAAAAAGTCATGCATATGACATTTATAAAGAGATTTAATCTAACAAATACTCCCTCCGGTTTTTTTTAGTGCCCGGGTGTGCACAAAGTTTTATACATAAGAGTAAAATATTATATAAGTGGATATAGTTAGGAATAAAAAAAAAAAAAAAAAAAAAAAAAATTAAAAAAATTGAAAATTAAGAGAGAAAAAATATAAATAGGGAGCACTAGATATAATGTCAAAGGAAATCATATTATAAAATGATGGTGAGGTAAAAAGAAAGAGAGAGAAATAATACACTTCCTCTGTCCCTAAATATAGTTCCCGTTTGACTATTTTCGGTCTCCAAGACGTGTCTTAATACGTCTATATTTCTATTTTCTTACGCGTAAAAATCATAAAAACTTTATATTAATAAAATATACAATGTGACGAGTCCAACAAGATCCCACATGAACATATAATCTCTTATAAATTAACGGGAAATTATGGTCAAAGTTTTCAAAGTTTGACCCAAACAAGTCAAATGGGAACTATATATATTTAGTGACAAAGAGAGTATTATGTACTTCGTATAATGTGTGGAGTTTTTAAATTTGGTAATGAGGCATTTAAAAAATGGTCATTTTTGGAAAGTAGAGCACTTATAAAAATAAAAAATAAAGTAAGTAACAATTTAATCAAATAAAACATCATTTCAACAAAGTTACGATCATTATTACAAATCGTAAAAAAAAAAAAAAAAAAAAAGGTGATAAATAGCCAATTTTCCGACTACTTCCGGCCTAGAAAATACTAATTTTGAAGAACCTACTCTAGGAGGAAAAGGATGGAAGAGAAGTAGCGGCTAAGGTTTATTATTATTATTATTATTATTATTATTATTATTATTATTATTATTATTATTATTATTATTATTATTATTATTATTATTATTATTATTATTATTATTATTATTGTTTTTGTTGTTGTTAATGTTACGTAGAGATTCAACATTTGCTATGGACAACTGAGCTTAAAACATACAATGGTGGTCTTTTTAAGAAAACCATTGTAAATTTTTTGCCAATAATTCATTTAATTAGTAATATTTTTTAATTATAATTATAATAATAATAATAACAAAACAATATACCTAATAAAAAAATAATAATATTGTAATAATACAGAAAAAAAAACTACAATATATATATATATATTTAATAATTTAGTATTTAAAAAAGTATTTAATCTAATTAGATTATACCTGATTAAAACTTATTGATCTTGAATTTGATTGAAACTTATTAGAAATTATTAAATCTGCAACCTATTTTTGTATGGTAAAGAGAACACAATTGTCGTGTTTCATAATAAATTTGCACCACTTAAATACACAAATAAATGTGTTACAACTATTTTATATATACTCTACCACGCCCTTTTAAACCTGTAAATTCTTTGATAATGACTATTGATAATGTATTAGAGGATCAATTCAACAAAAAAGTTAAGCTGATGGCCAGGTTAAAGGTTAGGATTGTTTTATACACTCTATCACTATCTTCAATTCCATATTATATACTCTTATTTTTCTTTGTTATTCAATTTTTGTGAGATATACATTTAATTTAGAAGTATGGGGAGGTAAAGCATCCTCACTCAATTCAGAAAATATAAAGTTAGAATAATTCAACCCTATAATTTTGAATCCCAACTAATTGCTTGATTCATATATTGTCAAAACAGTGAAATAATAAGAATTAAATGTATGTTCTAATTGAGTCATAAAAAAGGTTTAAACTTTTCATAAGACAAACTTATACTAAATCGCATCCATGCATTGAGTTATTTAGAAGGTAACTGTTGTTTAAATTAAATATCTTATCACAAGTTATTCAGGATGTAAATATTAGTCGGTTCAGGTTGTGTCACTACTAAATATGCATAATCACTGGTTTTTAATTCACAAGTGTCACAATTCACAACTAGGCACATTGATGTAAAGGATAAGGATTTATGTACTTGTAACTCTTTACTAATATCTTTCATTTATTTGATATTTCTTGCATGTCCTAATAATTTCAAGAGTTTGAATTTTATTTATATGCTTATTTTGACAATACTTTTTACCAATATATTAAAAAAATGTAAAATATTTTTGGATTAGTCTTAAAGTATATTTTCATTATATTAACTTTTTATACTGTTTAACAATATATAATTTAAAAAATTAATGGTCAAAGTTGTGCATTGACATGTGTACAGTTAAAGAGTTGCGATTATTATGAAACGGATGAAGTATTTCAATATATATTCCATATTCATTCTTAGAGTTTTTTTTTTAAGTGTCCTAGCTTTTGCTTATTACTATGGAGTTTGTTAGTGGTATACTTATAATTTTGTAATGTATTTGTCTCAATAATACAATATAAGTAAGCTTTCAAATAATCTTATTTTAGAATTATAGCCTTAATCTTTTGTCTCCAAGCATTCCACCACAATTCCGACATGTAAGATTCTCTCTCTCTTTCTTTTTTTTTTTTTTTGGTGAACATGTAAGATTATGTGAATTTTCACAAAAAAAAAAAAAAAAAAAAAAAAAAGGTAATAATCCTAGTTATATATTGAAACATAATAACAGAACATGTAAAGACAGTAAACCTATAAGAAGAATATTGGGTATATTTTCTATCATTGCATATACATTTTGTATCTACATCTATAGATTAATCAATAATGTAAAATGTGCATGTTTAAGGGACAAACTTCATACGTTATAGGTCTAATACATGGATTCAAAGTTCCAAATATTGTTATATTAGGTTATCCTGTCGACCTGTCATATCATTAATTCGAACTATTACCTCCGTTTCATATTATTTGCAACGATTAGACATTTTTCCTCTCTATTTTATGTTAAATCGTTGCAAATAATATGAAACGGAGGTAGTATATTATGATAATCAAATCCAGACAAAAGTAATAAAACATCATTCACAATAATGATGTAGAAGAATCACCGCCTCTTTATAGAAATAATGCTAAGGGGTCGTTTGGTTCATTAGGGAAGCGCAAATTTCCATGAAATTTCAATTTGTGGGAAATAAATTCCATCATCAAAATCATGGGAATTCAACAAATTTGTTTTGGTTAAGAATGGAGGAAGTATATTCCCATGGGAATTTCAATTTACCAAGAGGGGTTAGGTAAGTGAATTCCCATGTTTTATGGGAAGTTAAAATTTCCATAAATTTTCATTGCCCCCATTTTCACTTTTTTGTGTCAACTAAACAAGAGGTTGAAAATGAAATTCATGGAAATTTTGACTTTCCATAAAATATTTAGTCAACCAAACAAGGCCTTAACACTTTAGCTACAATTGAACTTGAAGATGAAATGAACTTGGCTTAAAATATGTCACCTTTGACTTGCAAAATCAAAAGAGCAATTAATCGTATCAAATTCTAAGAGATCTAAATCTCATCATGAATATGATGACTTCCAATGTTAAATTTGTCTCGTCTATTGTCAAGTGAATCAATTGTTCGATTTCGAGGTGCGTGTTCAACACCTGGCCAGAAGTTTGCGCAATTTTTTAGTCTATCTACTTGTACTTGTATGTTTTTATAACTTGTTGCATTGACAATAGACAACAAATAAGACAAATAGAGGAGTATCAATTACCGATATTAATGTTAAGTTCAATTGCTTTATATTGAGTATCAATTACCAATTTCATTCTATTCTTGTCAATTATTATGGGCGGAAGAGGGTATATGACTATATGTTACAATTTTCTTGGATTTTGTTAAAATTTTAATTACTCTGTAAAATTGACAAATTTGTTAATTACAATCGGTAAAAATATCCATT